AACAGTCGAGAGCATTTCGGGCATGAACAAGAATATGAGGCTCGAGTATGGAGAGCGATAGAGCTTTAAAGCCGAGATGCAGTGACGAAACCACTAGTACAATTACTTGGATAAAGATGGAGGGCATCAAGCGAGTGAGCATTCCCAGAAGATGCAATAAGGCAACGCATAAAGAGAACGCAGGGGAGTCATGGGGTAACCATGTACGAAAGGGTGTGGTAATACACAAACATTGATAAGGTGAATGACGCGAACAACATGATGCTTTGGTGCCATCATTTGTGACTACAATCATCGAGGTTTTTTTAAATATTGGAATTGTCAAACTCGTTCTCCAAATTACGATTTGTGTCATTATGGGGACCAAAAAATACGAAGTATTTACTCCGTTTCTGTACCACATATTCTGGGGAAACAACTCCTACAATACTGTGAAGTCGCAGTTTCCGTAACATCCCATACTCTCCTAAAGCACTGCCCTCCCGCATCGCACAAGAAACATACTGGCATCTTGAGCAAAGTTTACTTTACCAATTTCACGGAATAAGAATGTCGGTAGCTAGACAAATGGTGTCATTTAAAGGATTATTTCGACTGCAAAAAAAGCCAATGTCAAATCCATCTAATAATTGTGCTGAGTTTAGGATGAATTCAAGGAACCGTGCTGCTCTCGACCCAGCCCGAGTCAACAATCACTAATGAACTAGGAGGTACAGGGGCAACCGACAGCTAGTCCCATAACCACACTGAAGAACTAAGCTCTGCTGGTTCGTGGCATAGCGAACTCCTCAACTTCACTTGTTACAGGAGAAGAGTAACAACACCCACGCAATGTTCACAGATCGAACTTCCGTTGCCATGGCTGGCATTGCTTCCCCGGTGCCAATAGGGCTTTTTCAACAGTATTGAGCAGCGTTTTGCAATACTTAATTTCACAGTCAAGTGAAATAAAAGGATTGAGAATAGCTTCATTTCGTACAGTTGTTTGCCCAAGAACAGGTATCCGGCAGTTGGTGGGAGCTCGGGATTTGCTCGATGCAAGGGTGAGGGAGTCTTTCACGCCTCCACTGACTGCTTCCATTTCGTGTTTGAGTTGTGCGCAAATAACATTATATTTGTGGCTGCTAAGCTTTCTATACCATCTATTGTTCACCATGCCATGATTTTATAGGCGTCACCATTCCCACAAACCGCAGGAGCGGGTGGAACTTGCGCGTCTGTATGTGCAATAACCCCCAGCTACCCCAACTTTATTAGCCACTTACCCCTCCTTTTTACAACGGTACATCGCAGGTCAATTAGTTCTTTAATTGTCTTAACGCAGCTAAACAGCTGCTTCCTTGCTGACGTAAAGTCCCCGAGTAGCCATCTGTCGAGTGGACGAGTAAGGCCCCTGCCGCCGAGACACCGCCACTACCTTTCCACACAATGTATTTCCGGATTCTGCACTCTTCTACTGTGTGGTTGGCACTTGTATGCACTCACTCAATATACCAAGCTGCTTCTATCACTCAACATAAAATCACAAGTGCTCGTTTGGACGCCAGTAGTGCGGTCGCCTCCGAACTCCTTTTTAAAGACCCCATGCAGGATGGGCTGGCGGTGGATGGCATTACCCTGGATCAGCACGATAACAGTGCTTTCCTGCAAATGAACGAGGAAGAGTTTGGGAGGATTGATAGGAGGATGAAGCCATGTTTCCAGTCAGAGAACGGAAAAGCCTGCGGCGGAAGAGTATCAGAAGCAGACTACCCAGGGGGGTTGCACTGCCCTGCTGGATTTTGTTGTAGTAGAACGGCGATGCAGAATTGGTCTTCTGGCAACTGGTGCTCTAGCAGCTGGGCCTTCTGCTCGAGTTCTTTGATTTACAACCCGAAGTATTCTTATGGTACTTGCACATGCCAGAACTACGAGATCAGGTGCCCGACGAACTCAGCATGTGTTGATACATCCTATGGGCCTTACTGCAAATGTTTGGATGGCAAGGAAGAAGTTGAGGGTGCTTGTCGTAACCTCACAACTACTACAATTACCAGTAGTTCAGAGAAAGCTGAATGCCGAGCTGACGATTGCAGGCCTGGATTCTGTGACGCTGAGCGGGGTAAAGTCGTCTGTACCTGCTTGGGAGGATATATTTCAAGAAAGATTTCTGAAATCAGAGAGCAATGTGTCTTTGTGTATTAGCCTTATTAGATGGGTGCACATGTCACGCATCTTGTGCACGTGCTACGCTTCCAGAAGAGCAATTTATTGTGCACATTGAAAGTGATGGCTCCA